AGCTTTTCATTCAGGGCTCGTTTTCATGTGCCCCTCCACAGGCAGCACAGTGCTCTGGGGCTGGTGCCAGGCACAGGAGGGCCTGTGGGGCTTTTGTGGCCACGGCAACTCAGGGACAAATTCCCCAATGACCTCATGTCTGTTCGTGTCCTCGAAGAGCAGGGCAGGTCGGTTTGTGCCCCAAGAGGCATGTTGGCACTTTGACGTACGAAGGCAATGCAGTCAGCAGCCTCTACTTTATCTCCTTAATCACCTCCCCAGCCCTACCTATGTCACATGCTGCCACTTTAGACATGATTTCAGGGTGGCTTTTGCAGTGAAGGCTTTATTTGGGGAAAACAAAGCGGTCAGAGGTTCGCACAAATAAACGTGTTCCAGTGTGGGTACAGCCATGCAAAGCTAAGGGTGGGAAGCAGGGTGCTGTGCCCTGGCACCTCAGGGGGACAGCAGGACGTGGCTTTGTCCTGCTGGAGGAGCCGTGTGCTCACCGCTGTTGTTCACATTAAGGCTTCCAAAATGCTGTTTTATAATATTGCTTTCTGCTCTGCAAAGGCCTCATGGATCTGATGACAGATAATATACATAAGGCAAAGAGAAGGGTAGTTTGTAAAACTAGCCTTTTGGTGCTTTTTCAGTAAATTAATGTCTTTCAGAATGCCTCTGTACATTGAAACAAGGATTTGCCATACATTGCGTCGTTCAGACCTATGATTTATGTTCAAGCTTTTTAAAAGCCAGGGAATGATCCACTATAATTTAACCCCATCTCCATGCAAAATATGCTCTCCATACTCTGTAGTCTTAGCAACATGAAAGCAAAGCACTCGGAGGTCTCTGAAGCAGAGCTGCAGCACCAAAACTCAGCTGTAAAGCACAGCGTGGCAAGCCCCATCCACTGTGTCAGGCCAGGTAAAGAGTTTAAAGTCCAACCTGGATTCTGATGCTCTTGGTTGTGTGATGGTCACAGCCACATGGCATCTCCACTGCCCAGGCAGGAGTTCACATGGTTGGCTCACCCATCCAGGTGTCTTGATGTCTGATGCTTCCATATAAAAAATTGTTTGGTCATTTTTCTCCAGATCTTCCTAAGACATAGCTTGTTCTCAATCTACGTGTCAAGAACCTCAGGCACTTTTCTTTGCAGCACACAGGTGAATGAAAATGTCCCTTCCTTAGAGCTAGTACTGTTAAAAAATCGTAATGAGCGTCTCTTATTCATAGCAATGCCTTGTTTTTAAAAGCTGGGCACTTCATATTTAAGTAACAGTTTTTAATGCATTTTTTTTTGAGTCTCTTCGGAGTCGCAGCTTGCTTTCCTTCCACCTCCCTCCTAAGTCCCTGGAGCACAGGAACACAGCCTTTCACCTACCTCACCCCAAGGCAAATCCAACAAACTACCAAACAGCAGCTATGAGGAAATACACAGAAGCAGGGGAAGAGCACACAGAAGAAGGTGAAAGCCAGTTTGCACTAGCAATGGAAACCATATGGGACCCCTGGAAATCATACCTGGGGGACTCAGCTCACACTAAGCCACTGCTGGGCTTTCTCTCTCATCTTCTGCTTTTAAGGCTCAGTCCATCATCATGTAACACAGATAACGCGCTTTGCCTGCATGACAGCTCTCTGCATTTTGCCTGCCTGCAAAAAGATGAGGAATTGGCATTCTCAGTTAGTTTTTTCCAAGCAAGAACTGTCATATTATTTGTAGGTTTTAATGTCACTCCTCTGTTCTTGGGCACCCTGCTCAGTGCTTTTGAAGAGCACCAGTAGTATCGTTAACAGTGATAAGATCTTTATATGCCTGTTGTCCTTGAGGACTTTGATATTATAGTTGCATTGCATTTGATGAAAACTTTATCTGCAGACAGTCCTTCACCTTCAGCCTACCAGAAAATTTTATCTTTGACCTTCAAAGGCTTTTGAATTCACGTGCAGCAAAGAAATTGCAAAGTGAGCACGTGACGTGCAGTGTTTGCTAGACCTGCCATTACCAGCTCATAACCTTCAGCTGCTGCTTGTTCCCTCCTCCCAAGCTCTCTGAAATGCCTTCCAGCCCTTCCAACAGTGGCAGTACCGTTGATAGAGACTAAAGGTCAGTGTGGGATGACATAGGAACTGTGGTACCTCTCCACTTCTCTGCCAATATTTCAGGAACCAATTTCCTCATATATCACGATGTATACAGAAAATCTCTCTGCCTTATGCAAATACTTCCTATCAGTAGATAAATCCCCTTGCACCACCAGGCGCATGCGATTACGGTGCCTGAGCTCGAGGTGACACAGTGGCAGTACATGGTACCATGCACCACAGCAGGTGGACTCCTGTCTGAAATTTACTTGTACTAACTACAAGGAATGACTCACTGAGCAAAAAATAACCCATTCAGCTCACTGCTGTGCAGAGCACCGCTGAGCAGACCCTCCAGCTGAGCTTACATGCTCATGGTCAGGATCAGGATGGGGAAATGTGGCTTTAATACTACCTTAAGTGCTTGAGATAGGCAATATAATATGAGTATAAATAACATAAAACTGGACAGCTGTGATAGAAGGTGCTACTGTGGCAAGTGGCTCATCAGCAATGCTTCCTTTTTTCTTAGGACAGCGGCTTGGAGACCACTTTCCAAGGCTGAAGTATTTTTCTCAATAAACCCATGCCTGGGATTTAGGAATCCTCCCTCTGGCAACTTCATCATCAGACAGGAGCAGGAGCAGCTGAAAGATCCCTTCTTGCAATGAGTTAATTTTCTCCCCTGCTGTACTTGTCGTCACTCATGTATATTGCCATTTGTTTCCTGCCCTCCTCCCGCTCAGGGAGCTGCTTAATCACTACCTGCCAAGTCCTGCCTTGCCATATTTCAAGCTGCTAATTTCAAAGGGTGTTATTTGCTCCCTGGGCAGCACGTAGTAAACCAGAGGAGCAATCAATACACATCGTGAACCGGAGCTCTGGCTGCAAGCGGAAGTGTTGTCTCAAGCAACAGGGGGAAGATAAACCCGTGTTTCCTTCCCACAGCACTGTTGATGGCACATGTGTGCTGATTTGCGTCAGCTTCACACCCCACAGCCCCAGATCCCAATTGCCAATATCCTCTCCTCCCATTGCTCTTTAGGCCCTCCCAGGCCTAGAGGAGTCCATGCCAGTGCGCTCCCCAGAGCCATCGGTTTGGAAACTGGAGAGATTATTCTTGTGAGAACCACTTAGCACTTGGGCAATGCTGCAAGAATACAGCAAAACAAAAGCAAGAATTGGACCAGAGCATTCCCTGCTGCAGTTAAACATAAAGGCATTGTCCAGGCTGGAAAGTTGCCTTCTGTTGGAACTCATTGCTTAATTTGAGGTACCAAAAGCCTCTTTACATGGCAGCTGAACCAGAGCTGTCAATTTTGCTGGTGACACAATCAATAACTTAAGAGGAAAAAGGATGGTGGTTGGAAAAGTGGTGGAAAACAGCGTGAGTTTGTAAAGCTGGCTATGGAGCTCATGTATGTGGTTGCCTTGGGCTGCTGCTCTGCTCCTCCAGCAATCCCACCTGGAGCAGCACATGGGCCACCACACGTTCTGGGGCCTGGGCTGGTGTTCCTGTGCCACTAACATGGATGAGAAGCAGCATGGGCACAGAACGGTGCTGCCCAGCCCAGCAAAGGGGCGAGGAGCATTGTGCCAACTGCAAGTGCTTCTAGGCTTGGGCCCTGTATTTAGGCAGCTTCAAAAGCTAACTACTGGTGTCTCACAATTAAAAGGCATCAGCTGTGTGGAATGGGGTTGCGTGACAGCTGCACTACCCCAGGGGCATCTCAATAATCACTACATTAATTACATCCCAGCTTCTACACTTTAGCCCAGTAAAACTGAAAACAATATCTTATGCACATGAGTTTTAATTCTTAAGCATTCGAGGCCACAAGAAGAGTTTTTCTTTTTTTTTTTTTGGATTCTGCCTGGGATGCTGTTTCTGTCCACGAGTGTTTCCACTTGCTTTCCTTACCATAACACTTTCTTGCTGCTGGTGATAGCAATTAGATGTAACGGCAGTCTGTAGGAAGGGTGGCTTTTAGGAGCCTTTCTGTAAGTTCAAAACTTAGATCCTGAGTTGACCTATGTGGAAAAACTAGGAAAATTAAGGTTGTAGAATGATGTTTTGCTTATGGACACACCTTCTAGAAATGATTCAAATTAGAAGTCAACTATTATTAAACAAGCAGGGTGCTTCCCTGGGGGGGTGGCAGGCACTTCAAACTGGAAGGGTTCCAGAATTCGGGATCTGGAAAATACAGCTCATTTTCACTCCAGATCATGATTGTGCTTCATTTTAATAGCCTGAAGTGGCCTGTTGGGTTTTCCTTGTTTTAGGACTCTGTTTTGGCTTGTGTTGAACTCTGGAGTGCAGCTGCCACTTAGTTATTTTATTTTGAATTTGCTACTTGTATTCTGATCGCCACTGTTGGCCCAATGCTGCCATGACCACTCTCCTACAGGCTGCAGGGATAGTTTTGTAGAAGCCCCTTCCAAAGCTCTCTTAAGGCAGCAGAGGGATTCTCAGGGGCACCAAGTAGACATGTGATATGAGAGCTGCAAGTAATGGAAGGAGAAAAGAGTATAGGAAAAAAGTAAAGGAAACAGAAGATTACACAGATTGCTCAAAATATCCTCTCATTCCTGCCAGATATTAGTCAGCCTCATCTCCAACCATAACATGTCCTCTCTCACAGTAGCACTGCTTTTTGACCTCCCTCTCCCTCTGCAATCCAATATGCTTTGCTGTGACACCGAAGGTTGGGAGCAGGACCTGGGCTGCCTCATTCACAGCTAAGGTGGAAAAGAAAACCTTTGGGCAGTCATGACTAATCTACAGATATCTCACAGCCATCAGTGGTGAAATGCTGGCTGGCTGTGTTGTTCTGTCCAGTGCACAACCAAAAAACAGGGTGCACATGTGGAGCTAGCATGCAATTTTCACTAATTTTTCCTTCTGCCTCCACCTCCTCTTGCAGTAAACCTCCATTGTGGAGCTCCTAGATCCAGCTGAAGTCTGAGAGATGCTACCATGGCCCTGGATGGAAGGAAATACATTTCAGATGACAGTAAGTGTCATATAAAGCATTAAGATCCCAGACAGAGACCACTGTTAGTGTCATGGACAATAATAAAGACAAGGAGTGTAGAAGAGCGCATGCAGTCCGTGCTAATTGCTCCCACAGCTATGAAAACAGTGAAGTGATGCCTGATGTGAATGGACAAAAAAAAGGACAAAGCTGAGGAAGGCAGCCCTTCTTCCATGATGGAAAGGGAGGAAGCCCATATTGGCACAACAAACCGTGAATAACAATAAAAGCAGCTGAGCCTGAAGCTGAGCTGTTCATGATGAGCCCCTCAGTGACTTTGGATGATCTTCCTCTGCAAAGCAGGGAGGGGTCCTTCTTTTCCTTCTTAGCTGGTGTTTTTCAAGGTTCTCCTGCCACGTGACCATAGCACACCGTGCTCCCATCTCCAGGCAGGAATAACCTAAGCAAACCTAAATAACAATCAGCACCAACTGTGCTACCCGGAATTAAGCATAGAGGCAATGATGAGACTACTAGAGGTACTATTTAGGACCAGGGCATTGCCAAGAGAAGATCAAAAGTGTTGTCTTTAGTGCCCTTCTTCAAAACAGTCATCAGTACTGTTCAAGAACACTCCTCTTTATATTTCTCTATCTTATCTCCACTTCATTATAGAAAAGTTCCGGCTGAGAACTGAAGTGCCCATGCAGTTGTAATCAAGCCACACAATGAGGGTCTCTTCCCAGGGACACTCACTGCTGCATTCATGCTGCATTCATGCTCTCTGCTCAGGAACAGAAGTGTCAGCTCAGCCCTGACTCAGGCCCTCCATGCCAGGGATGGAAGGGCTGTTTCACAACCTGATTCAGAGTCTCCTGATGGTCTGGAGAAGAGCTTGTTCCAGTCCTGATTCATGCTGCTGTGATCTGATTCCAAGTCTCCTGGCCCAGTGGGGAAGTGGGACTGTGATTCAGACATCTGAATTCAGAGCAGGCTGACTTGGGACTCCTAGCCTGTGCTATCCCGTGGATGACATCTGCTGCCTAGGTGTTCTCAAGAGCCCTTTTGAGCTGCACTCTGGACCAGATCAATTCAAAGGAGCTGTATGTTCAGAGATCTTCAGGCTGAAATTGCCTTCTGGGCGAATAGATGCTAATCCACCTGTGTGGGTCACTGCACTTTCTATCTGTTGGCACAACCCCTCCTGACATGGTGCCACAGCAGATGCTGCTGGATTGATGCCCTTTGTGTCCTGCTCTGAAGAATCTAATGAGCTTTTTCAGTGTCAACAGCACAGGGCTGCTGGGTTTGGGGCCTCGTACATATACTTACAGGACCTGACAGTGGCTCTTGAATTCCTAATCCTTCTGAGAAGCAGACCATGTGTTCTTTCCAACAAGGATCAGTCTGGACTTTGCTCACTTGGATGTGCCAAAAGGAGGTAACAGGCAGACAGAACCAGATAAAATTGTAATCCTTCACAGTATCACTGGAAAGAGGGCCCACAAATTTCACATTAGAAGTGAACACCTTGGTAAAGCTTCTCTGGTTTTCTCCATGTTTCTCATTCTCTTTGGTATATTTCATTTTTGCCTTTATGTTTAAAATGGAGGTGAGAGTGGACCACAGGATGCAAACTGCTGATGCAGGCTGCCTAGTGCCAGTGGGTGTTTAACAGCCCCACAACTACAGCATGGAGTGGCTGGAAGCTCCATAAGAGCCTTCATTGTATCCATTGATGAACAATGAGAAGAGCAGCCAAAGGCTGCTGGAGAATAGGGATTTGAAGCTCTTGTGATTGCTGCCAGCTTGATGGGACCTCTATAAGGACTGATACCGATCAACATTAGGTATACACAAAGATGTCACAGCACTCGAGCTGTCCTCACAAGGCCATGGAGTCAAGAACTGAAGGGAGAGAGGAGGACGGCTCCAGGATCAGCCATCCAGCTGTTGGCAGAAGGCAGGAGCGAGGGGCTCAGCTCTCCAGCTCAAGGCAGAGAGCTGCAGAGAGCCCAAACTCTGGTGTTAATGGCAGGCCCTGAGATGGCAAACGCTTCTAAGGTGGAATTTTAAATCACAAAATTCACGCTTTCCTTCTTCTTTTCTAATTTTGCTTCTGGAGAGGAAGTTCTGTTTCAGAAAGGGAAAAAATGCCTGGCACGCCCGAGCACTGCTCATCATGGAAAGAGGCAGAGCTTGTCCTGGGCACTGCAGTTGTTTGCCTTGCTAAAAAAGCCACCACTGCTTATCTTAACTCTGAGCTCTCTGGCATTTTCCACACAACAAGCTGGGCACATCCCAGGGCTGAGGGCTGCGGCGTGGCTGCTGCTGGCTGGGTGTGAACAAAGCACCCGCTGTACTCAGGGAAGTACAATCCCTCTGGGCACCCAAAAACAGCCAGGGATGTCCGTAGGGGGACAGCACGGATTGCTTTGTGCTTACCAGACAGACAAGGGTGTCCCTCCTACTTTGGGATTTCAGGGCGCAGCAGAGCCCTTGGGATGGAGCACCAGCCTCCAAACAGTTAACACAAAGCAGCACGAGTTGCAGCACAGTTAAGTAATTTTTTTTTTTTTTTTACATACAGCTGCAATTTGTCCTTCCCTGTCACTAGAACCAAGGAAGCTGGAAGTAAATTGCTTTAGTCAAATCAGGACAGAGCTAAATGACCAACAATCTGCCTCTGTGTCAACCCTGCATATTACTTTTTTTTTTTTCCCAGATAGCGATGCCGGCTGAGATGTTTGCATTTGCTCTCTCATTCTCATGTGATCAGCAACTGCTTCACCCTCCCAGTTTCCACCAGGAGAGGTATACTAACAGGTAAGTGATCTATGCAGCCATATTACCGATTTCCTCATCCAGGAGAAGCAAGTGCACTGCACAGAATCATTAACAGTACAGAAATCTCTAACTGCGGGCTGCATCGACTGCAGAGCGGCAGTACGGCTCTGTAATATTTACAACACGTCCGGGCACATCCAGCTACCTTGGGTGACCTTGCTGATGGTTCATGCAATGCACGCCACTTACCTGAGCAACGTGCAAGCTGAACGTACACCTGCATACGTCCAACAGAGCCTCGCACAGCTTTAGTGAGAGCTTTCTATATCCATGTTTCACTTTTTTTCTTACAAAAACATTTCCTGGCCCCTTTTCAACAGGAGCAGAACTGGTAGATCAGGTGGGACTGAGGTAAGCACAGTCCAGCTGTAACTAGCCAAACAATTGGCTGAGCACAGGGTTTGTGCTGAGCAAATAGCCCAGGCCTCACTGGTCTCACTGCACTCTGCCAGCTCACGATGACTTTCTTTTAGGCTTAGGTGCTCCGGGCACTTTGGCAAAAGGATGCAGCACAACTCCTCGCAGTGCCCATCCTTGTTCCCATCTCTGCCCCCATCCCCGCAGCAGCTGCATGCCGCCCTCTTGGCACCCCAGGCCTGAGCCTGTTGGCTTCGAGGGGCTTTGTAGGGTGCAAGGGTGCTTGCATTGAAGAACAACTCTGAAATCAACAAATCAAATAGATAATGCTTTTTTTATTATCTGCTGCCCTGGTGAGGACACAAGAAGAGTAGTGTTGTTTGTGAAAGAAATAGCAATGTCACCAGAGTCTTTATCTGGAAGAGGATCAGACTCTTGTTCCTGAACCAGAGAAACCCCAGCTTAGTTACTAACTCCGTGTCATCTTCCTTCACTTCTGATTTGTGTGCACAACTTTCCAGCCCCTTCTCCTGCATGACCTTCATGCATGGGCCCTGCTTGGAGCTGGCTGGGCTGGGCCATGCTAGGCTGCGCTGCCAGGTGCCTCCCTCCCTCCCCAGCTGCCCAGAAGCTGATTTATGTGACCTTTAAAAAAACCTTCCCATGGACATTTCTTCTTCAAATTACCAAACCTTTGTTTCCTTCCCACTGTCTGATAAGTGCTAATTATACACACAGCTGCTGAAGTATTCTCTTCCCTACAGCAGGTGAAGAAGATTTCTTATCACAGCACATGCTCTGAAACTCCTCAACTGTTTTCTTAAAGTCATTTGATGCTACCTGTCTTTAGCCTTGCAGAAACTGCCTGTCTGTATTTTGGTAGTATGCACAGAATTTCAGGAATGTCCCCGGGAGGGGGGTAAAGCAATGAGAATTAAATGAAAGCACGGGATCATAGGGCTAAACTGACTGCACAGCTGAGATCAGTGGTCCCACTTTCCTCCAGTATCAAAGCACTTCAAACCTAAGGGCAGAAGCTCTGTTAGGAGTGCCAAAGCTACCCACTAGCTGTAAGCCAGGACATACAGCTGTTATGGACAGGTACCATAGGTGCCATGAACACGTGCCATACCTTGTACCACGTAACTCAGTAGGATGAATCCAAGAGAACCATTGCATGGCTCAACCTTCAAAATCTGTGCAATGTCATGAGCATACTGCAGAGAGAGGTATGGCGGTCAGTTTTCAGTCCTTAAAAGTTTTGCATTGTTTCTCATGCTGAGGAAGGACCAACCAACCCGCCGTTCTGTTTGCAGGGAGGTCAGTGAGCTGCCCCCAAGCAAATTGCCAATCTGATTTTGTCCTCTGCTAGCTTCAGCTTTGTTGGTTTCATTCCAGACACTGATGTCCTACAGCAATTAGTTTTGATTCAAGTGCTAGCACCTCATGCTCAAGTTCAGTGTCCTGGCATCTCATGTGAGACTGACAAGATGCATCACAGCTCAGGGAGCTATCTTAGTAACATTCAGCTGCCAAATATTTTACAGGGGTGTTGATGCTGAGGAGGTACTCTGTGTTATTCGCAAGAGAAGCAGCTTAGAGGACCCACGGCTCTGTAACACACATGGGTGTAGCCCTAAAAATAATAATGAAAAGTGCAGAATATGTACTGGCATGTCACCCGAGAACAAAAGGACTCATCTGCAGTGTTCCCTGAGGGATGAGCCATAAAGCGAGGCAATAACACCATCTAAAATAATACAGCAAGGTCCTCCAAGGACGGCAAAGGGGAGGAAGTCAAACTAGAGCCATACGAAGCAGAGAGGAGTGTTCCAGCAGGAAATTAAGGAAAGCCTTCAATGTGAGAAGAGGGGACTGATCCCTGGAGGGAAGCTGAAATGGCACAGCAAGAACATCAACTGCAACGTGACTGCAGGTGTGAGGGACTCAGAGGGTAGCAATGCTCACTGCCAGGACATGTCTGTCAAGGTTTGCCCTGCTGTGCCAGGCCAGAAGGCTGGTCTGTGTGCAGCACTGCCTGGTGCCAGTGAGATGGCTGCCAGGAGATGCTCTCACCTGGGAACGCTGAACGTGGGCAAGTGCTCATGGCTGCATCTGTGATGGTGAAATATCTACTGTAACTTAATGCATTACTGGCAACCCTACTTGCAAAAGCTGTTCTGAGTATTGGGCCTCTCCGTCTTGGAAATCTAGTACACACGAATGTACCCTGAGCTGGTAAAAGGCAGACCTGGCCCCACAGCCTCCCCACGTACAGCATCAAGAGCAGATCATCATTCATAAATGGCTGTACGCAGAGCCATGTCAGCTGAAGCACCGTCTGGGCTCGGTGTGGGGAGCTGCCCTGGCTACCAGCAGTCCTGGCTGCCCTAGCCCTTCCCTCAGTGGATTTGCATATTGGGTCAGGGCAGCCATTCCAGCAGCTTGATTTGCAGTGGGTAATGTTATTCATGGAGCTGTTTGGGACTGCAGTGCCCAAATCCTTGGTTGCTATTTGTCTGCTTCTTTCTCCCTCATTCTTCCTTGCTTTTTACTCCCCTTGTCTGTTTAAAAAAAAAAAAAAAAAGTTTCTCTTGGCTGTACTTTCACTAGGACATTGCAAAGTCAGGCTGAGAGCAGAATTAAATGAGGATAGATGCCAGGTTCCTTTTTGCTACACACACACACACACACACATACACAAAACCTACTGGAATAGCACTGAGAGCTGTAAATTAGGTCATCTTTGCACAAGAGCTTCCCAAGCCCTTCCTCCAAGCAATGCTGCACAAACATTTGGTGACGACTACTTGAAAGCTATCTGGTGCAGCTTGTCTTGGGGACTGGTGTGATGCAGTGAGAGGGTTCCCAGGGCTGCCCCATCCCCTGTACAGAGACATGAACTAGGATCTAGATCCACTCCTCTGAGGGTGCACAGTCAGGGAGAGGCACAGTAACCCTAAGGCTAGATGTGACAGCCAGAGGAGAGAGTCAGCATGAGTATGGGGAAAGGAAAGTCTGCATTTAGGGAAGGTGGGCTGCAGAACCTCTTGGATAAGTAGCAAAAGATTGGTAAAGGTGAGAAGGGAGCTTGCCTGTGGACGTTCCCATCCAGACCTGCATGGCTTCCAGCACACCACCACAGTGGCTCAGAAATGCCTTTCAACCCAAGCCATTCTGTGATATTCTGATATTCTAAAAGCACATGCACATGCTCACCCAGCCTCCAGTGACCCACAGCTCAAGGACTCGGGTGACATCTGTGTTTAATAGCCCGAGGAGTACCTTCCTTGAGTGAGTCTGTCTAATCGCTCCTTGAATCTGTATAACCTTGGGGCAACGTGTTCCATCCTCTAAGTACGTGTTTGGTGAGCGTACAGCCAGCCTTATGATGACTCTCAGCTGGCCTCTTTGCAGCCCTATCTGCAGCTCTTGTCCTTTGGGAGGCTGTGGACTCACTTTTGGCGTGACTTAGTAGTCCTCTGCATTGTGAAAGACACCGTGCAGGTTTATGAAAGCAGCTTAGAGCAAGGGAATCGAGCCAGGCTACATTTCAGTAGCACAGTTTGGATCTTTCTTTAAGTCATGCTTCCTTGAATCTCCTTCTGGCACTGCCCCATCACCTGCATCGCCTTCAGCCCTAGGACCTCCGCTGCAGCCCCTTGTCTGGCTGTGAGGCCTCCTCCAAAAGGCAGCTGCTGGACTTACGCCATGCTGGGAGAGCTGAGAGCTGTGAGGGGAAGGCTGATCCTGGGAGCTGGGATTTAGGAGCCCTTCAGCAGCCCTCGTCCCTACCTCATCCTATGTTATATCTTCAGCACTGGCTTCTCCATGGCAGGAATAGCTCCTGAGTTGGGGACAGGTACACCAGGACCAGAAAATGGAGAAATGGATCCAAGTCTTCAACCATTAATGGATTAATCAGGACTTGAGAAAAGTAATTTGTAACTTGGCATAATGCTTGGGTAAGCTAGAGAAGCACGTCATGTGGGGAGGAGAAACGGATGAGAGGACAAGCTGGAGAGCAAGAGATCAGAACAGGCAAAAACCGAAAGCCCAGTCCAGAGCCAGGCTGGTGTCCCCTGATGGGCAAAGGTCCCCTGGGCTGCACAGCTCCACTGTGCCTCTCATGGTGGCTTCAGGCACCTACAGAGCTTTTGGGATCTGTGTGTCAGAACCTGTGGTGCAAAAGGCTTCACAAGAATGTGAAATCCTTTCTAAACCCAACTGTACCCTGTACTGCTGCAGTCTCCACAGAGGTCTCCTGGATGGGAGGGCAGTGGTCCCGGAGTCCATCCAGGAAGAGAACAGTGAGAGAAATCTTGCTCTGGCATATATTACAAGCATAAGAAAATAAATGTCAAAATCTTATCACTATCCTGGCTCTTAGAGGAGATTTTGGAAGGGCGCTTTTGAGATCTTTGCAAGCTGTGGGCTGGTAAGAGGAGAATGAGCTCTTTGCTAGGGAGATGGAGAGCTCTTTGCTGCCTCCTGCTCACCTTCCTGGAATAAAGGCAACCGAAACTACCACAGGTGAAGCAGAAACTTTTTACCTTAACCAGCAACAGTCTTTGGTTTGCTTGCCTCACAGAGGCCACCTGGAGCTCCTGCAGCACTGTGGG